GGGAGCCCAGGCGTCCCCAAGGCGCCCCGTGCAAGAGGGGACGCCTCGCCTCGCCTCGCCTCGCCTCACCTGCTGCCGGGCTCCCCGCTAGCCCCGCCGGCCGCGGCTGCAGCCGCTTCCCAGCCTCTCCATGGCGCGCTCCGCCAGGCGGCCCAGATGCGCGCAACGGCGCGCCGATTGGCTGCGCCGCCCGCGCTTCCCCGGCCAGAAAGTGAGAGTCGCCGGGCAGCAGCGCGCCCCTGATTGGCTCGGCCGCGCGGGCCAGGGAGGCGCTGACTGGCCCAGATGTGCAGGGGAGGCCTCCGCCTCCGCTCCCCCGCCCCCGCCCCCGCCCCTCCCGAGTGGGCTGCTGGGAGGCAGGCTGCGGAGGAGAGGCGGCGATTGGGGAGGGGGGAAGGCTGCAGAACGCACGCGGCGCCCTTTTCGAGGGCTTTGCCTTTGCTTCCCGGCAGCCCCCTCGGAATGCAACAGGGGCGCAGGCAGGAGAGAGCCCCAGGCCCGATGCAATGGGATTAAAATGGGGGTGCCAACCTCCAGGTGGGGCCTGGGGACCTCCCGCTTTTGCACCTGATCTCCAGCTGACAGAGATCAGCTCTCCTGGAGAAAAGGGCTGCTTTGGAGCATGGACCCTGCGGCACTGTAACCATGCTGAGGCCCCTCCCCACCCCAAACCCCGCCCTCTCCTGGATCCACCCCCAAAGTCTCCAGGTATTTTCCAACCCAGACCTGGCAACCCTAGATTAAAATGGGGGAGAAATTGAATCACCCCCCCAATCTATCAGGAGCAGGGTTGCCAGCTGCAGGTGTAACCTGAGTGGGTGGGTTCTGCGCGGGGCAGAATTTGGAATGAACCTTGCAAGGATTCAAAGGGAATAAACCATTTTAACTTTTCACTTGACATTGTATCCTGTATCAAAACCCAGGTCTTAGTAACAGGACAGAACTGTGATCTTTCAAAGTCCAAATGATTAACTTCTCCCCTCCTTCACAGCCTGCCACTCCCAAAGTCCATCTTTTTTCCTCTTGTCGGTGGGCCAAGAAGTCTACAGCGGAATGCTCTTTGCTGTTGTTGTTCAGTCGCACAGTCGAGTCTGACTCTTCATAACCCCATGGACCACATCACGCCAGGCCCTCCTGTCTTCCGCAGTGGAGTTTGCTTAATTTCATGTTCGTTGCCTCAATAACACTGTCTGACCATCACATCCTTTGCCGTCCCCTTCTTCTTTGACCTTCAATCTTTCCCAGCATCAGGGTCTTCTCCAGTGAGTGCTCCCTTCTCATTGGGTGGCCAAAGTATTTGAGCTTCAGCTTCAGTATCTGGCCTTCCAGGGAATAGGTTGATTTCTTTGAGAACTGACTGATTTGATCTCCTCGCGGTCCAGGGGACTCTCAAGAGTCCTCTCCAGCACCATAATTCAAAAGCATCTGTTCTTTGGAGCTCAGCCTTCCTTACATCCAACTCTTGCAGCCATACATTACTACTGGGGATACCAAATAACACTGGCTTCCAAAATGAAGGTCCCAATTTGGGACTCCCAAATGAATCCCTCACTAGATCACACAGCTCTGAAACAATAATGCTAAAATGACCATTTAGAACAAAATGACCATTTAGAACCAGTTTTCACAGGTAAATTATAGTTATCTTCAGGGGTCATTTCCTGCAGGAGCGCACAGGAGCGGAGCTTCGGCAGTAAAGAGCCCAGGGGTTGGGCACATGCAACAAGCCCCGCCACCTGCTCCCAGCAGCCATCAGTCAGAGCAAGAAGCAGCCAGGTAAGTTGCAGAGCCCCCCGGTCCAAAACAGTCCAGCGGCACCTTTAAGACCAAATTTTATTCAGGTACAAGCTCTCCCTCCTCTGCAAGGACAGATCTGCATTCCCCCCCCCCCATAGTTAGCAATCCAAAACAGTCCAGTGGAACCTGAGCGGTGGGTGTTGCCTTCTGACACACTTCCGGTGATGTCAGGGGGTGTGGCGTATGCAAATAAGTTATGCGAATGAATTATGCTAATAAGCTCCTGCACCTCTTTTTCTACGAAATGACCCCTGACTGAGATGTGAAGCACTCACTGTGACCACTGGGTGGGTGAATCTTTGTGCATGTTTTCTATAGACTTTATTTAGAACATGAACAGCTATTTCCCCAAGTGCAAGCAGATGCATTGTGCAGTACAAAAGGACCTCTAGATCCAGCCTTAGGGGATATAGTTTTTGTATTCCGGTGATGTCAGGGGGTGTGGCATATGCAAATAAGTTATGCTAATGAGCTCCTGCAACTCTTTTTCTACGAAATGACCCCTAGTTATCTTAAACAAGGTGTTCAGAGCCTATGATTAAGGTTTACGCTCCCCAGCAGGGCAGTCTTGCTTTCCTCCTCTGCTCTCCATATGGCACCCTTCCGCATCTAGAGCCTCCCCCCCTTCCTGGCGGGGCACCAGGAAGGGTCAGCGGGCACCATGTTGGGGGCCCCTGCTCTGTGGCATCCCCAATGAGCTCTGTCCCCTCCCCAAACTCTGCTCTCTCTAGACTCCTCTTCCAAAATCTCCAGGAATTTTCCAGCTTGGAGATGGCAACCCAACAGCTACCAGCCTTTGTGAAGGAAGTAACTGTGCTGGTGCACAAGCAATTGCAAACACTATACTATTTGTCTGCAGACCCGACCAAAATATCAGAAGCATGCAAGCTTTCAGGTTCTCCAGAATTCTTCAGCAGGCGGATTGCTAAGTACAAAGGGGATACGGGAGAAGACAGAAACACCTGCCTCCGGGTAGGACACTAAAGTCCATAGTTTGCAGTTTGCATCTTTCTTGAAAAGCTAGAAGGGCCACTGCAGGACTTCCGGGCAGAGATGGGCCTTACTTTTCTTTGCTGCTGATTTAGATCCGCTTTCTAGGCAAACGTTTAAAAAAGCAACCGTCATAGACGCAGCAGTGCCTCTTATGAATGCATTACAAAAAAACCCCCCAAACCCTCCAGAAAGCAAAAGACAAATTCCTTGCTATTATCACAAAGCATTTGGAAATATTTATCTCCAGGGTCAGCATTCGGGTGGGGGTGCTACACAGCTTTGCCTTGTTTTGGAGGAGACCTATTTAATAAAGGGGGCGATTTTTAATACTATTTTAGTCTGGGACGGTGATGTTAAGGTTTCAGTGGCCTGTTTTTATGGTGTTTTTATACTGGGCCTTTTAATGCTGGATTTTAATGTTTTGTCTTTTATTATTTTATAATGGAAGCCAGGTCAGGTAGGTTCCTAGAGAAGCAACATAAAAATTTCCTAAGTAAATAATAATACTGGAAAGGGCCTTGTACCCTGACTGACCGCTTTCTCTGGGAGAGCATGTGGCAGTTGATTTCCCCAGAACTCTCACATTCTGTACCATCAACCATGGTGCCTGTCTGTAGAGGCCTGTAACATGGAACCTCCTTAATAAAATATTTTGTTAAAAAACCCCACCCCATAAGCAATACTCCCTCTAAGGCGATTTGGCTGCTGCATAAATTAGTCTACTCTGGAGCCATCCTTCCTGACTAAGACAAAAATGTGTGAGCCGGAGGCTAAAAAACTGTGAGCTACCTCACACTAACTCAGCTTAGAGGGAACATTGCCCATAAGCAACTTACCCTGTGTGGCCCCAGCTATCCCAGTCTTGTCAGCTCTCGGAAGCTAAGCAGGGATGGCCCTGCTTAGTATTTGGATGGGCTATTTTTGGGCAGGAACGCACAGGAACAGAGTTCCAGCTGGCTCCTGAGTTGGCCACGCCCAGCAGGAACTCATTAGCATAATAGGCCACGCCTAACAGCAGACACTCATTAGGATTGGCTACATTAGGGGTGTGTGGCCTAACATGCAAAGCTGCTACAAAAAAGCCCATGGTTTTGGCAACAACGTAAACAGAATAAGAAGCAAAAGGTGGGTGTGGCTGGATGACCACACTTCTGGTAACATGTGGGGTGTGGCCTAATATGCTAATTAACTGTTGTCAGGGGTGTGGCCTAATATGCTAATATATTTCTGCTGTTGGTACGGCGTATTATGATAATGAGTTCCTGCTGGGCTTTTTCTACAAAAAAAGCCCTGGATCGGAGACTCACAAGGATGTCCGAGGTCACTACGTAGAGGGAGGGAACGGCAAACCACTGCTGAATGTCTCTTGCCTTGAAAATCCTACGGGGCATCCTTAGTCAACTGTGACTCGACAGGACTTTCCACCACCACCATAAGCAACTTACCCATGGTATTTAAAAGAGGGCTCAGTATACATTACTGAGAACAAGGAAGATTTCTAGCTGTAAAGATACCTATGTGCTGGTGTTTCTGCACCTTTTCCGATGCTATAATGTATTTTTGGAGGGGCAGTGACCGGAAATGTACACAGGATTCCAAATGAGGCCACACCATCGATTTATACAGGGGCATTAAGATACTGGCGTGATGTGGCCCATGGGGTCGCAAAGAGTTAGACACGACTGTGCGACTGAACGACAAAATTATGATACTGGCTGATTTGTTTTCAGACACAAGCAGAAGAGAGTTCTCAGGGACAGGGAGCGAGGGAAGCTTTGACCTGCGACCCATTTGTCCGACATTCTTAAAAAAAAAACATATAGTTAGCCATTCCCCCGCATTGTATTGATCATGCAATACAAAAACAATATCCCCTAAGGCTGGATCTAGAGGTCCTTTTGTACTGCACAATGCATCTGCTTGCACTCGGGGAAATAGCTGTTCATGTTCTAAATAAAGTCTATAGAAAACATGCACAAAGATTCACCCACTCAGTGGTCACAGTGAGTGCTTCACATCTCAGTCAGGGGTCATTTCGTAGAAAAAGAGGTGCAGGAGCTCATTAGCATAATTCGTTAGCATAACATATTAGCATACATCACACCCCCTGACATCACCGGAAGTGTGTCAGAAGGCAACACCCACCGCTCAGGCTCCACTGGACTGTTTTGGATTGTTAACTATGGGGGGGGGAACACACAGATCTGTCCTCGCAGAGGAGAGCTTGTACCTGAATAAAACTTGGTCTTAAAGGTGCCACTGGACTGTTTTGGACCGGGGGGCTCTGCAACTTACCTGGCTGCTTCTTGCTCCGACTGATGGCTGCTGGGAGCAGGTGGTGGGGCTTGTTGCATGTGCCCAACCCCTGGGCTCTTTA